GCCTCGCTGCCCTGGCCAGGCCGACACTGTAATTATATCTATGTATGTGTGTTTCTACGTTCCTAAAGATAATAAATATTTGTAATAAAATTAGTCACCTACTGTAGATACTTTTATTTGCATATTATACTTTAATCAATGATGAAATCCAATAAAATAATTAAATTATTTATGTGTAAGTATTTGTTAACGTAAACTATAAACGGTCCACAACTAGAAATGTAAGCTCGGTAAATTTAAACCTCGTAAATTTACTAATTATATTTTGACAGGTAAATATTTTTTTACCGAAAAAAATTAGCATGTGGCACCTCAAATTATACGTCTTTACGAGGCCAATATTCATCAGTCAAAACATATTAATATAATTGAATAGTTTATATTATAAAATGTAAAACGTCCAAACGTTCAACACATCCACAACCACTGATAGTGTTGTATCCTAGTACCTATAATACATAACATTAAACATAGGAATATTCAATATACCCATAGAACTGAATCACCTGATTAACCTAACCTGAGGCGTGTTAGATCCAAAGATATCTATGGTTAGATCTCTATCCACAACTATACTAAATATTATAATAATCAAATTTATTATTATTTACTAGAAAAAACAATGTAAAATTATTATAATGTCAAATATTATTAAATTATTATTACACCTATATATATCTGGCTATTTTTAATTAGGTAAATAGTAAATACGATGAACTACCACGCTACTGCGGGTATAAATTATTTAAACCAACGGATCAAGTTATTGCTGAAATTCTATGAATGAATAAAAATATATTAATAAGTAATAATACTAATAATCATTAGGTAGGTAATGACTAATGAGTCTACAAACATTACAAACGTGGATGGGATACTGAGTAAATTGTTATAATGTTACATTTATCTTTTATTAATGTTCCGGTTACCCCTATAACATTTCCTATATAATATCGTTATAATATAATATTTTCTTTGAATAATATGCAATGTAAAAACTATTATTATAAATTATTATTTAGAAATTATTATATTTTATATTTTTGAATTTTTTTTACAAAATTGATTTGATTTTAAATCTGTGGTTTAGGAAAAAAAATTAACTCGTAAAGTCGTAAGTTACTGAATAACATAGGAAAAAATGTAACTCGTAACTTACATATAATACTATTTTTTTCATTATCAATAAAACAGCGTCTAAAAAACTTAAATTTACTATAAACTAATTTTTATAATACAGAGAACATTTATCTTACTGAATTTTAGTAGGTTAAGTAACCCCTGCTAAAATAATTCTGCACACGGCAGTGGCGTATTTAGGATTTTATTGCCCTGGGTTGTCCCCCCCCCCCCCCCCCCCACAAATTGGTTTAATTATATTGCCAATTGGCAATTTTTTTCACCCATAAAAAGTTTCGTGTTAGAATAACAGCACCTATTACAAAATTAAAAGATGACAATATTTTGGAGGGCAAGAAGGAGAGTAGTTTTAAGACTGCAAGTTAATGATTTTTTTTAACTCAGTTAAGTTAAAAATGAATACACACTTTTTGTTAACTTTTTAGTAAGCATACTTAATTGTTTTCCAAACTAAAACTAAATTATTACCTATACCTTGTGTTTATACTTAACACAGTATTTTCATATAAGTTAGATTGGAAAAATATAAAATTTTCAACTTTAAACAATTCACGGCCGTAAATATTTGTTTATATTTCTACCGGTAAATATTTGTTGACATGAAAACGATATAAACTGAAATAGTGAAATGTAATAAAATTTAAACAAAATAAATTAACTTAATTTACTTCTTTTTTTTTATTTTTTATTTTTTATTAAAAGAAACTTTGTAAACAATTAGCTTCGACAATTATGGTTATAACAATATTACATAACTTACTTCTTAAAATGAAAAATTAATTCTTTAATTTCACGTTAATAAAAAAGAAATTTAGTAAGTAATAGCATTGATTATATATATAAGTATATATAATCAATGGTAATAATAATAATAATATTTATTGATACCAAATTAGAATTACAAACATGTTATAAAATAAAATAGATAAATGAATTGATCTTTAGTTCTCTTTTCAAAAGCAAAGCTTGTGTAGAAAAGAGAGAGCTGTGATACAAAGTCGTTAATAATTAAGAAAATAGAGAATAAATAAGAACATTATAAATAAAGATAATATAACAATTCAGTATTAGAACAAAATGTATGCTGGATGGTTATATCTTATAGGTATAAGCATAAGTACAGACTAGGTTAAACCCATTAGGTGCCTTAGCGAAATTATGTTGATATGCTAAGTTGTACTTATGAGTATAACAATAGAAAAAGAGAAAAAT